TATATATATTTTATATATCAATTTCTTTATTATAGAAGCAAGTAACTTACACTCCACGTTTACTACTTGTAGATTTGGATGGTTCCCTAAAGCATCTACCACGGGAGGGTGAACTTTATGGCAATAGTATTAAACGTACACCACACAGCGATGCTAATAGCGAAGATGCTGTAAAGAAAATCAAAGAAGACCTCCAAAATATGAGCACAGACTTAGAAGTCGTGCAGCAGCCGCAAGCTCCGAAGCACGAGTTTCAGAAAGATCTCGAAAATCCTGTTGTCAATATTCAAGAAAAGGAGTACAATTTAACAGACGATGTAGAAACATGGACAGACTATCTTTATGCACGCTACCACCCACGCACTGTAAATGTAGTCAACGAATATAAACATGAAGCAGAGAAGCAAACATTTGATACATTTGCTTCTGGTGTACAGCTTTGGAAAACAGAAAAGTTCGAGGACGAATTTTGTGATAAAATACGCCAATACGTAGAGGAATGTGACTTTTTGCAGGGATTCCAAACTTTATTTGACTGCTTCAATGGGTTCTCGGGATTAGCCACAGAATGTCTAGAGCACCTGAATGATGAGTATGGCAAAGCCAATTTTGCGATTCCAGTGTACTCACCTCGAAATACGCTATTTAAAAATGCTGGTACGTATGATAACAACTTATCGCCCACCACCTAGATCTAAAGTGAGCTAACCAAAAATTTTGAGAGGGAAATCAAACTGCTTGTGGATCGAACAGATTCAACTCAATTAATACAAAAACAGGTATAACAGTAGTTTTTTGTTAATGTATATAATCACGAAGAAAAAAAAAATTTGCATAAATTTGATGTAAGTTCTAAATTTTTTTTTTGAATTGATCGCACTTTAGATCTAGGTGTGCGATATATGAACGTACTATGTATTTAGATTATTTAAAATTTGTCTACACTGCAGGTGCGGCTATGACAGACTCCATAAGGGTGGTAAACAGCGCATTGACTTTCCACAAATTAAGTGAGCAAGCATCGTTGTTTGTGCCGCTGGGGACATGTGACCGCGTTTGGCGACAGTTTGGCGCAGCACGTCAGCTACCGGCACTTAATTATCAAGCAGATAATTTGTATCAAACTTCTGCCGTGCTAGCCGCATACTTAGACACAATCTCGCTACGTTATCGTTTGCGCAATGCGCCTGGCGCATACTCACTTCCTGCTTTTTGCGGTGATCTAAATAATTATGGACGTAAATTGGCTGCTGCCGCTTTTGCGTTGCCTTTCGCCATGCAGCATGACCAATACTTAATTGATTGCTTGGACAAGTTTGAAGGCCCAATATTCACATCACTCACACCAAATTGCAGCATTGGCACTGATTATATTATACAGTCACTCTGTGTGCGTGGTATACCACGCGAACGTCTCAAGCGACCATTGGAGAAGGCGAAAGAGCAAATGCGCATGGCAGCTTATAAGTGTNGGCACTGATTATATTATACAGTCACTCTGTGTGCGTGGTATACCACGCGAACGTCTCAAACGACCATTGGAGAAGGCGAAAGAGCAAATGCGCATGGCAGCTTATAAGTGCGATAGTGTGTCCGAAATGTTTCAACTATACCTGCAGTGTGCAAATCATGCGAGTATGGCGCATGTTGCATCAATATCGATGGCCATGCCAACGCGTATACCATTTCCAAGTGAAATATTCGCTGAAGACGTAACGAAATTAGGCTTTCTCTCAGCGACAACAAAACGGCAAACCGATGAAAAAGTGATCTCTGTGCCGACGCTAGCAGCAGTACAGTCGTCCAGTGAGTTAGGCGAGACTTTAGAAACACTGCACCGCGAAGCAAAACGTGTAAAAATAGCAAAATTGCATCGCTATAAAGCGGCAGGCTTGGAGCAAGATGAGTATGCGGAAGCGCTCGAGCAGTTACTGCTCTTCAAAGACAATTATGAAGATAAATTTGAATTGTAGCACAAGCATGAAAACATTATAACACAAAATTTAAACATAATTGGTTTGATGTTAAATTCAGAACCCGAAAAACGGAAGANCCGCGAAGCAAAACGCGTTAAAATAGCAAAATTGCATCGCTATAAAGCGGCAGGCTTGGAGCAAGATGAGTATGCGGAAGCGCTCGAGCAGTTACTGCTCTTCAAAGACAATTATGAAGATAACTTTGAATTGTAGCACAAGCATGAAAACATTATAACACAAAATTTAAACAGTAATTGGTTTGATGTTAAATTCAGTACCCGAAAAACGGAATCAACTAGTTTTACATATAGTGCACTAAAAATATTGAGACTAAGCTAGTTACAATTACAATACAATAGCCATAAAATAACAAATAAAAGGTAAGATAAGTAGATTAGCATAGTAGTTAGATAAAATTAAACTTATTTGGTAGGTTCTGCAATTTACTTACGAATGAACTTCAACCAAAGCCACATTGAATTCCAGTTGAATGGGAGTGAATTACAGAAGCTGCCAGTATATCTTAGTTCTCGAAAAACTGTTCATACAAAATAAAACACTTACATTCATCTATAAATTCTGAGATAGGCCGTTCTTCAACCAAATTCTGAATATGGCGTTCTTGAACAAATATTTGAGATACGGTCTTTTCGAATTGGCTGCCGAGGTAGGTCGATCTTCCACTCAGTCGTCGTTATATAAAAAACAAACAAGATTCCAAATGCTGTCTACACGCCCGACGGGAAGGGGAGGGGATCGTTAACTTTTTCCCCCGGGCCCGGAGTTCACAAAGGGCTCCATGCTCAGACTCCACAGAATATTTCATAAGACGTTTAGCATAAAAAAATTATAGATTTTAATGATGAAAAGATGTACTATACTACTAAAAAATTTTATACACATAAAACAAGTGAAATATTATTTAATTTCGACCAATTTATTGGTTCAGTTGAACTCTTGGATAGCAATCTCTTTTCTTTAAGCTTTTTTTCTAGGGGCACTAAACTGTCAGAAGTGGATATGATTTAAAAAATATTATAGTATTTAGAAGATCCCGAATAGGGCACGACCTTCACCCGTTTGGTTAATGGATGAAATCTATTTTGTATGAAATTTAACGCGTTGGTAAATATTTCGCAAATGGGTTGGCTGATAAAATACTGGCCAGGACAGTTTTAATTAAATATTCAAAAATGAACTCTTAATATTTTGTTCTCATTTGTTTAATGAACAAATTACAAGTGAACACTTTTTCTCATACACATTCTAAGGTATCGGACAGCGTAAATATTAACACAAATCTCCTTCTTTCAAGCATGAAAATTCACTTCATCCTAAGACACCTTTAAATTAATGAAAAGTAAAAAAGCATGAAAAGAGCATTGAAAATATGAAACTAAAGGGTAGTTTATATTTAAGGAGCACCATTTTTATCCCCGAGCGCACGTGAGCACAATGGTAGTANAGATAAAATTAAACTTATTTGGTAGGTTCTGCAATTTACTTACGAATGAATTTCAACCAAAGCCACTTTGAATTCAAGTTGAATTTGAGTGAATTACAGAAGCTGCCAGTATATCTTAATTCTCGAAAAACTGTTCATACAAAATAAAACACCGTTCTTCAACCAAATTCTGAATATGGCGTTCCTGAACAAATATTTGAGATACGGTCTTTTCGAATTGGCTGCCGAGGTAGGTCGATCTTCCACGCAGTCGTCGTTATATAAAAAACAAACAAGATTCCAAATGCTGTCTACAGACCCGACGGGAAGGGTAGGGGATCGTTAACTTTTTCCCTCGGGCCCGGAGTACACAAAAGATGTTTAGCATAAAAATTATAGATTTTCATGATGAAAGGAAAGGATACTACTAAACAAGTAATTTTTAGCAAAAAAAAACCGACTTCAACTCCCATATAAAAAAAAAAATATATATATATATATATCTCATGATCCACTGATCGGATCTCAACCAGATTAGTATGGGACCACCTCTGAGACACTACCTTTCCGATGCAAGAATTTTCGAAATCGGTTGATGCGGTCCAAAGTTATGCGGTAACATACATAAAAAAAAAACAAAAAAAAAAAATATTCCGACGAACTGATAACCTCCTCCTTTTTTGGAAGTCGGTTAAAAATTGTATACACATAAAACTAGTGAAAAAGTATTTACTTTCGACCAATTTATTTGTTCAGTTGAACTCTTGGATAGCGACCTCTTTTCTTTAAGTTTTCTTTTCTAGAGGCACTAAGCTGTCTGCTTCTCTCAATCATGAAAATTCACTTCATCCTGAGACACCTTTAAATTAATGAAAATTAAAGTAAAAAAGCATGAAAAGAGCATTGAAAATATGAAACTAAAGGGTAGTTTATATTTAAGGAGCACCATTTTTATACCCGAGCGCACGTGAGCACAATGGTAGTATAATTTTGTTTACATAACGGTTGTTTGTAACAGCCAAAACAAATCAAGATAGATATAGACAAATGTATACATAAATGATCAGAATGAAAAGAGATGTCGATTAAGTCATGTCTGTTCGTCCGCTATATGTAGGTCCCCTTTATCCAAGGTAGGTTGGTATTGAAAATAGGAAAAATTGGACTGTAACCACGGCCACTTCNACATAACGGTTGTTTGTAACAGCCAAAACAAATCGAGATAGATATAGACAAATGCATACATAAATGATCAGAATGAAAAGAGCTGTTGATTAAGTCATGTCTGTGTGTCCGCTATATGTAGGTTCCCCTTTATCCAAGGTAGGTTGGTATTGAAAATAGGAAAAATTGGACTGTAAACACGGCCACTTCCCATATAACGGTATTTTCGAAAAATGCAAAAACTACGATATTTCAAGCATATATGTAATACTCCTATATTGGCAGTAAGAGCTAGTACCGTCCGAAAACACTACAGTACAGATATATCAATAAACACGTACGAAAGAAAAGGAACACATACGTTTGTAAATAAACATGTACACGACACATTTACAAAAACGGCACTAGACTGTCTCGCTTTGATTTCGGAATGCTTACACATTGAGATGTTAGCTTACTACCAATATAGAAGTATTACATATATGATTTCAGGTAATATTCAATTTAAATTGTTGGAAATTAGTATGTGAAGTAGAATTGTGGTGAAAAATAAACTCAAAATCCATGATTGCAATAATCACAGCTGAAAATTTGATTATAATAACTTTTTGGATAATGGGCGTGGCGCCGCCCACTTAAGACCACAAATGTGTATCTCGGTAACCGATTCATAAAATTCAACCAAAATTGGTGCACCTTGTAATCTTGGTCCGGAAAAGCAATTTGTTGAAAATCATTCAAATCGGACTAAAATTAAACCCCCTGCCCATATAATGGTAAATTTAAAACATAGGACAACTCCGATATTTTAAAAACAGAGGACACTAATTTACTCTAAGTTAATACTGACAACAATCTCTTAGTAATAAATACCACGGTTATAGACTTTTAGAAATTATGCGTGGCACCGCCCACTTTATGACTACAAAGATATATCTCGGTAACGCTTTATCGATTTCTACCCAATGATTTCATTATCGAAAACGTTTGAAATCGGGAAAAACACCCCTGTTTATCATGCAAAGGTAGTTGAGAGAAAGTTGAAACGACGATATTTGATACCTGCGCCGGGTATATAAAATTCGATTTCGCCCGAACTTGTACTTTACTTGTTTTGCCATATATTTGCTTCTCTTCTCTTGCTTTGTATTACTTTCAAGTCAATAAAAAAGTATTCTACAAAAAAATCAGCGATTAGCTTTCTATATAAATGAAGTCGGCTGTATTTTTAATGTAATGTAACAGTCCAAAATATCAAAAAGTTTTTTTTGGCGCGGAAACCACCAGGCTAAAACATGGCAAAAACCTGGTTTTCCCGTACTCTTCATAATCCATGTGTTTTCGGTGGAAAACTATTTGTAACGTAACAGTCTTTTTTTCTAATTGAACTTTCAGATAATTTATTTTATTTTTTATTAAGAGATAGGGATAATTTTGCAAGCACCAATGTAAGCTATTCAACGTGATATTACGTAGAAATATATTATTTCCAAAAGGAACGAGTCCAAAAGAAGTTACAGAAATAATGAAAATGTATTCGAATTATTTCACCATTTTTTTAGCCGTATTATTATCCTTCAAAATACACTCTCGAACGGTGCTATACGATTTTTCCTTCAAGAGTCACGGGCACTTTTACTGCCTTGTTCTCGAATCTAACATAGCCAAACCAAGCATATGCTTTCCAACTCATTACGTTATCCATTCGCATTTTAAAAGAATAGTACTAAATGGCATGAAGCTGTTACTCGTGTACTTAATCGCTGAAAACCTCAATGTCTTGCCGCAGTTCTAAGCTCGAGCTCGAGTTCTACGCAGAAAATTACTTCGGAAACGACCTTCTACTGTACAACATCAGAAACTTTGAGATCTGTAATCATAATTTTCATGCAACAGTCCCGACTACTTTTCCACTTAGGCTTAAATCTCGACTACTATCCCTGAAAATACCATTCGTGGACCTTGATCTGATGGTCACTTATAGTCATTTGGTGAACAGTAAAAACAGATTTTGGCGAAATTTGAGTACCTACCGCCATTAGCGCACACAAGGGGTTGGTTTTGGGGTTCAAAATATTCCAACGAATTGATAAGAAATTTTCGAGGTCGGTTAAAAATATTTGAGTTCTTTGTGAATTTTATCTCGATCGATCGATTTTATATCGATCTTCCACCCAGCCGTCGATATACAAAAAACAAACAAACACCTCTATTGCGAATGTCGACTGGCAGTAGATAAACAACTATTAAGCGATCATCGATTATCGCTGCAATTGTGAGTGTTAAACTATGTTCACATATCAATATTATCTCAATCAAAGCTCGTTTTTTAATCACCACGTTTACACAGGCAAATCTCAGATTATTAGCCGTCAAATTTGTTGTGCTTGTTATTCTCACATCTCAAGGAAAAGTTATGTTTCTTCTCTGTGCCACCGTGATCACGTTTTTCTGCTATAATAAGCAATATAAATATATTTTAACTTAACATTTTATTAAAAATGCCTTTACAAACCTCTTTTATTTGCTAGCGTACATTTTTGTTTACTTTTACATTTGGCGTTTCTCTTCTCTTTCGCAAAAACAATCGATAAAACTAGGATGGACACCGAAAAGTTATCGGTTAAATCTGAGATTATTTTATAATTACAGATTAACAAGGGACGAATTTTATATGGCTAATCTCTTCTTATAATTACAGATTAGGGTGTTAAGCTCGAAAATGAGGATAATCTACTTATATGTGAACCTAGTATCGCTTAGTCGCTCAATTAGCGACTGTGAATACTTTTTAATCGCTCATCCTTTTATTGCTTTTTTTTAGTCGTTGGAGTTTGCGTTTATAAACTTTACACAAGATAATAGTACTATAATGGATAAAAAGTAAGTCAATTGAACTGGAAGTTGTAAAAAACTGTGGAATATTCATATGTATGTATGTGTCTGAATTACAGATCAAAAATTGTAAGCAACAAAAGGCAACTTGCGCGGTTGGTCGAGCTGATGCTGGAGAATGAGGACATAGGCAAAGGAATTTGCGGAAAGAGTATGGGGGGAAGCTCCGCTTTTATTGTGAAAGATATACAACATTTCTTGTGCATATCGAACCCTAACCGCCAAAATAACGTAAGCGACATATTTTTCAAAATTTTGTTTTTGATGCAGAAATGCATCTGGATGCTCTAGGAATATTTCTGCATCAAAAAGAAAATTTTGAAAAAAAATGTCGCTTACGTTATTTTGGCGGTTAGGGCTCGATATAAATCTGGCTACGCCATCCACAGTGGTTTTGCGCAGAACCAACATCAAAGTTTACTAAAAACTGCATAATTTATTAATTAACTAGGGCTCGGAAATTTTAAAACTTTATTTTAAAATAAAGTTAAATTCTTTCACGAAACGTGTATGTTAAAGTTTTTAAAATCGGGTCACGCGTTTGGACACAAATACCCAACATCATTGTACCAATAACTAAACAGTACCGTATTTCTTAAACTAGTTGCACTTCAGATACTTCACGATTTGCAGGTTTTTACAGGAAGCTGTTCCAGGTGGCCTCCTTCCATAAAGTTTATTAAGGACAAAAACAGTTTTTCCTGTAAATCCTGTAAAACCTACAAACCGTGAAGCATCTGGAACGAAACTACTATTAATAAAATTCACATATGTATGTACATACACTTAACCTTCCAACTCCAAGGGATTCGACGAATCTTGCGATTTCCTCCTTTCTTTAGCCAACTCTACTAATCTATTAGCTTGCACATCATGTTCCTCATTACTAAACCATATTTCAACTCTATTCATTTTTTAAATTTGTAAATGTAATGTAAATGAAACACTAAAGAGACAAATGCTAACAAATAAACAGCTGTTTACAATTCAGTCAATCATTCACAATAGTAAAAATTTTATTCGATCAAGTTACACAATAGCAAAATAAAAGATAATCGACTCGATCGACAAATTTCTATTCTACTGCCAGTCGACACTTACAATAGGGGCCAAAATTCCAAATGCCGTGTAAAATCTTATCATACAATGTGGCATTTGGTAGCTTCAAGCAGCAAAAATTTGAAATTCAAGTTGCTATCTATCCTATATATATTTTTATATACTTTGAGCGTTTGTATGCATCTGTATTGTACTTTCTTAAAAAGCCCACAAATGGGTCATCTGCTTAAACGTACCGCAACATCTAATTGTTAACTGCTTATTGTGGCCCTCAAAATGATACTTAAACTGAATGCAGGCAATGAGTA